TTCACTCTGAACTTTTTCCAGTTTGAAGATGTCCCCCCTGAACTCCAGACTGTCATATCCACCTGCCTCCTCAGCATCTCCATCTGGAATGTCTAATAAACTTTGCAAAGGCAACACGTCTAAGACTGTACTCCTCTTAGTTTCCTCGAGACATGCTGCTCTCATGCCCTTCCCTTCTGGTTGAATGGCAACTCCGTGCTTTCTGTTGCTCAGGCTATGAATTTGGAGTCATCTTTGCTTTCTCTCTTTCATACCCTACCTCTGCTCATCAATCATAATCTATTCTGCCTTCAACATATATCCAAGTGCCGATCACATCTCCCTTTCTCTACTGCCTTCACCCTGGTTCAAGCCAACATCATCTCTTACCTGCTTCTGCCCTTGATCCCATACAGTCTGCTCACAATATAACAGCTAGATGATCTAATTAAATTCTAGAATTCAGTGCTTGTGGAGTAGCATTCAGGGTATCCTGAATTGGAGGAAGTCGAAGACAGTGGATAAGTGTCATATCAGGCCACTGCCATCCTTATTTAAAAAATAAAAAACAAACCACAGTGCACATATCCAGTAATGTACATTCATACTAAACTTTCATTACAAAAAGAAAATATTCTGGTTGCCCCACTAATCAAACATTTTAAATTTCCTTTTTCTGATGGCCACCAAATTTTGCAGTTCTTTCTCTTCTGCCTCTAAATAAAAATAATCCTTTCCCTAGAAGCAACCCCAAGAACAGTCATTCTGTGAAGTTTTCCCTGATTAAAACCCAGTCCTTAAGGTACAGCACTCTCTTGCTTCTAAGAACACAAATGAGGTTAAGTGCTAAGACAACCTAAAGTTCTAAGGATATTTAATTTTTATTTAACTGTGTACACTGAGAGATTTAAAGGCAGGGATTAAATCATCCAACAGGTACACTTGGATTAAAGGCTTGCTGGGACAGTTCATTTTCTTTTGAGCAGAATTTTTTTAAATGAGTGGGAAGTCTGTTGTGAACTCCATTTGAAGACATTTTTAAAATTCCTAAAATGCCCCTCCCAAATTATTGTAATGGGGATAACTTATAAGGTCACTTATCTCAAGCACACAGTATCGTCATAGGAAGATTTAAGTTGTACTCAAAGCTTGACTGTGTGGCTTAAGTTTTACATTTAAAATATTGCATTTATATGCATCCATGAAAGTTTAACATGTTAGTTATTCTGGTGGAACACTTACCTAGAATTGTATATGTGCCTCTTTAAAAGCCCTAGAGGAAGGCTGCCTCTTCATTAATAGGCAATGGGGAGGGGAAAATATCTTTTTTAAATAAGCTCTCATAGCTGTATGCAAGTGCTGTTGGAGAAATGGCACCTATAGACTTGCTGGACACAGGGTTGCCACAAACCTTTAATTTGTAGAAATCAAATTGATGAGTTTGACTTTGAATATACAACATCTAAGGCTCCTGTGAACTGAACAAATGAACTGTGGAATAGTAGCTGGTCATACAAATCTAAAACTCATAACTGATGTTGGGTCTAGGGATGACTTGGGGAGTATAAACATTCATAGGATAATTAAACCAGGGGAGTGGATGACATTCAGAACGTGAGAAGAGAGAGGAGCCTGGATTTAAAATTTTCAGGAATAAAGGAGTTTATTAGTGGGCATCCCTGTCCAATACCTGTACATTGGACATCAGTATAACTAGGTTATAGTTCTGGCTTTGCCACTTCTTGTAACTATGACATGGGCAAGTGATTAAATGGTTCTCATTTCATTTTCCTAATCCATTCCTGGAAAAGCCTCTGCCTTCACCTTTGGTAATGCTCCATCAAAGTTGTCTATGTCCTAATCCCTGGAACTTGTGAAAATGTCAGGTTACATTGCAAAGGAAAATTAAGCTTGCAGATGGAATTAAAGTTGCTAATCAGCTGACTCTAAAATAAGGAGATTATCCTGGATTATCCTGGTGGGCCCAATATAATCACAAGGGTCCTTAAATGCAGAGGAGAGAGGCCAGAAAGAGAGAACCAGAGATAGCATCATGAAGAGAACCTGAGTTACTGGCTTTGAAGGTGGAAGAGTGGGCCGTGAGCCAAGCAATGCCGGCCACCTCTAGAAGCTGGAAAGGCAAGAAAACTGATTCTCTCCTGGGAACTCGAGGAGGAATGCCACTTGCTGCCACCTTTGATTTTAGCCCACTGAGGCTCATTTTGGACTTCTGACTTCCAAAACAATAAGATAATAAATGTGTGTTGCTTTAAGTCACTGAGTTTGTGGTACAACAGCACAAACTTAGTGGAAACTAAGGAAACTTGTGTTAGGAAACTAATACAAGTGATGGGCAGAAGAAATGAGATTATGGATATGAAATAATTTTAAAGACAGCAAATGGATATACAAATGGATATGCTTATGAGGGCACATTTATGTTTTCCTCTACTGATTTCAGTGACAGATATTGAGCACTAGGTGGGGGTGAATTGTGCCAGATGTGGTTGGTTTTAACATTAGACTTAAGCAGTTACTAAGTAACAGGGCAAATGATCAGAAGACAAATGTCGCCTGAATATGCAATCGATGATGATAATTCTGGTATTGAGATATCTGTGAAGTGCCAGGTAGTGTGTCAGAGTGGTTGTGATAACTGAAGACAGCTTCTCTACCCCACTCAAGGACTGTCCACATTCAGGGCCCCCTTTCCACCTACAACAAATTGTGCTGGAGTCTTAGGTGAACTTGGGCCTCATGCTGTTGACCCTGAAGAAATTAGCAAAACATTTTGAGCCTACAGTGATACTAGCCTGTGGAGCTGTTATAAAGAGATAAGTATATACATGATTAATCCCTTTTCCCTCTTTCTTTCCTCTCCACTCCTAATTTCAACCCTTCTCTCTTCCCACCAAAAATATGAAGACAGCCAGTTTCAACTGGGCTTTAGCACAGCTGGTAAAATAGCTTCAAGTACTTATCTTCTGTTATCAGTATATCATCATAAGAGACTAAAGTGTGTTTTCTAAGAATATGCAAGAAGTTTTCTATTCTGATAAAATTTTTAAGTCCATATTATGAAAAGAAATATGTTGTAGATGGTGACATCAGCCTCAAGAAATGCCCAAAGAGTCGGGGTGGCTGAATGCTTAGGAGGGCTCAGGCTAGCAGGTCTTAGAACCTGGGGCAGGGAATGGGTAGTCAAGGTCAGGCTGTAGAGAACGAAGTAAAACAGACTGAGCTTTAGGAACGGGATGGAAGGCTCTGACAACAATACTGTGGCGCATTCTTAACAGTCAGCTGGTAGTAAGTTCTGTGCCGTGGTCAGCATCAACCCTGTTTAACCTCAGGTAGAAAGAAGGGTAATGATAATGGATTTCCTTCTTGAGTATTTAACTGAGTGCCAAGTGTTGTCTTAATTATATTACAAAGAATCCTCAAAATATTCTGTTAGGTAAGTAACGTGACGATCATTCACATTTTTACAGATGGAGAAACTGAGGCACAGAGAAGTTTAGGAATCCGGCCTAGGTCACATAGCTGGTAGTTGGCTAGTAGAGTTACATGACCTACAGACAAACCCCTTGACTGGGAATCCAGAACATCTGTCAGATAATAGCAAGGCCCCAACCCCTGATTAGTGTCTGTGGCTAACCAGTGAGGGGAAAACTGGCAAAATCAAGATGGGGCAACAGATGTAGAGGGGATTGTCTGTATCCTAGTACAGACATTGGGGAAAAAGATCCAGCCATCAGAACTGGATGCTTAGAGTACTCTGAATGTCGAGAAGAAGACTGAAGAGGTACATTTGTCACAATTGACTGACTCACAGGGGTAGCTGAATATCACATCAGAATGTAGAGCGCCAGCTTAAAGCCCTCAACCCTCTCCCAACTGACCGCACTTCCTGTAGTCACTCCCCTAAATGCCTCCGCCCAGAGACCTTGTGAGAATCCTGGTGTTTGCTAGTTTGCCCAGAGTCAGGCAAGTCAAGCAAGCATGTCACCAGCTGAATTGGGGAGCACCTCTCCCCTCAAACAAGAAAGTACCCCAAAGGATACAAATTAAGAGGAGGAGGTTTCAAGCCACCAGTGGGACAGGAGCTCTGTATCCCATTTCCCAAAACCAATAAAGAAAGTAGGAAGCCCCTTGAAGTAGTGTGCAAACTGAATCTAAAACTGCATTATGCCTTCCCCCCTGATAATACTGTTACTGTGGAAAGTTATTATATGTGTGTCTTTGAAGACTTTAACATGGAAATAAACATTTTCCCCAAATCAGCTGTCATCATCAAAATGAGAATCTGTCTTACTGTTAGAAATTCTGAGTTTAAAAAGTTTCTATTTCTAAAACTAAATGCTGATGAGAGCTATACAGTCCAAAATAGAAACATTTTTTTCTCCTAAGAATAAACATCTGAAGTTCGAGTTATAGTTAGCTGGTCCAGTATTGCATAGAAAAGACTGTTAATACACACACATTCAGAGTGAGCATAAAGATGCATCTTTGTTCATTGTCTGAATTATAACTATCCATCTTTCTAAAGTATTAAACTAAAGATCCACAAAGGATGCTATTTGCTTCCAAAGGTTTTTCACCTTTCCTGGAAAATATGTCAGAATGTTGATCACAGGATTGGGAATTTTAACCACCCACATTTTTGTTCACTTGAACAAGATGGAGCTAAAGCTGAATAAGATGGTCCCCTTGTCGTAACAGAGTTTGTGATGCCAGATTCATTTCCATGCAATTAAAGGAACACTTTACTTTTTTTCCTTGGAGAGGATATAAAACTGTGCTTGTGT